TAAGTACTTAGGGCTTAGGGCCTATACAGTCGTCCCATGTCGCCCGAAACTTTGATGTAGTATGCTGTGAGAAGGTCAACTGCCTTGCACAAGCTCTAAGCCAAACGTCAGGAACGCACGCATACACCAAAGTGGAACGGACCGAAACCAGTCTTTACACTGTAACCCGCGGGCCAGGAACCGTATTACCCGACGAGCGATAGCTTGAACGCTGAGTTGTACCTACCCGACTGAAGGTTCCTACTCCCCAAACACTGAAGCCTAAAACGTAAAGTCTCAACATTTAGCCTGCAGTTCCTGCGAAGGTGAACTATATCAGCGACAGCTTGACGATGCACACCCGACATGCCAGGAAACTTGCAAGCGGTTCATCCATCGCACACCTTTAACCGCTATGCCCTGCATCCTTGTGTCTCCAACCCTACGAAACAGCTGTCTTGAAGGAGCGGCGCGAATAGCAGCTCTAGCTTTCGATTCCTCCGGCAATGCACGTCAAAGATCAAAGAGGGGCCTTAGGCAAGCAATTAAACCTCAAGCTCGAGCAGGTTTCCCAGGAGCATAAACGATCCCTGAAAGCTCTTTACGTGACTGAACACCTCCTAATTGGGTTTTGATCAATAATTTCGGCTCAGGGCACAAGGTCATTAGTACCTCACGTCGGGCTGTAAGCAGTTATTCGCCTTGTTGTTATACTCCTACTCACGATATCACTAAGCCCCTGAGGCCTTCAATAGAACCCAGATCCATCCCACAACCGTTTTTCCACGAGGTGGTTCCGATCAATAAACCTGCTGTGACTCGACCGACTCAAGTTAATCAGGATCCCAAGCTGCAAGGTGGACCATACTGTTGATGATATAAATCCTGCATTACCATAAGGACCCTAAACTATGGGAATTATGGTATATTCCTTATTATGGGTAGTGCAGGATTTATATCATCAACCGTACCTTTGCCCTGAATTATAATACCGGGCTTGGTTTTACCCCCTTTCGCGGTAGGGATCCTCCAATACAAACGACAACTACGGACTTGCTTTAAAGGGTTGTAACAGTCTAGGTCCTTAGGTAAGAAAGAATCACAACACCTGAATCCTCAAGCTTTGTGCGCTTTGTCTCACTGCTGATGATCTGATGAAGGACGCGTCGGATCGCGGAGCAGGCACTTCTGGGTTCCGATTCGCGCCCGTTGCCAAGTATTGTGTTTCTTTCAAGCGTCGGAGCCTAGCCGAACTCCTTCGGGCCTGCAACTCCGGCAGTCCAAACCCTGCCCGATCTATAAGCCTTCAGGGCTTTGAGCAGGGGGAATTTCTAAGGTTTAGGCTTCAATTCTTCGCCGCAAGAACATCACAGCACAAGCATTGCGGGCGGGTGCACTGTCATCGGAACCCGCCTTCGGCCCGGATGTTGCTATCGAATCGAGGCTAGGGGGCGTTCCCCTCGGCATAGGCGTGGACCACATGGGATGACAGATGGGTTGCGCAGGTTTAGGGTTTATACGAAGTCCCGAATGCCAAAATCCTAAACCAGTACCCGTAAACCCCTAAACCAAAAAGCCAGATGCCATAAAACTCGAAAAGAAACCGTGCGCACCAGGCATGGAAATTTTACGACAAGTCACAAGACATCTGCCGGCTCGGGTTGTAGGTTTTAAACTTTACGCTCTATACGAAGTCTTGCGATGCTTACATCAGCCCCCATATACTCTTCGGTTAAAGAACAAAGCTGCCTTAAGCTATAGATAGCGTCATGATGGCTATTGTACAACAAGTTGTACACACTACTACTGTCCGGATTTGGCGGGTGCCTTCTCTTCACAACTTTCCGGTTGTTGAACCTGCTGGAGCTTCAGTGTTCACAGTGGTCTAGTAGAGAGTGCAGACCCTAGACCCCGAAAGTATGTAGAATGATAGCCTTTTATAGGTGTTGGGGCCATTATTTTGCCTACTTTGGGTGGTTTAAGACAAGGCCTTGAAGCCTTAAACCTCGCATCGTCATCCCACGAGGCGCAGCAAATCGTGCCAGGCGCAGCACGCACGCCCTGCGCCTGAATTCAAGGAGGTCTGCCAATTAGACCTGCACGGTCTAGACGTTGAGGCTTCAGTTTTCAAGGCCCCCTAACTGCAAAAATCCCTGAAACCCTACCCGGTATATAGCCCCAAGCTACATGGCTGGCAAGTTCCTATCGAAGCGTGGCAGAAAGCACTAGCGTATTCGACAGTTTGGGGGCGGGGGTGTGCTTTACGAAACCTCGACGGAGATTCTGTTGAAATCTCCGACCTTGATTTGAAGGCATATCGAGGCCCCGACATTGCCTTTAAAACTCAGAACGGTTGGAGCATAGAGAACATACCAATACCCACCCGTGAAACGAAGCGACCGCAATACTGTTTTCATGGTGCTACACGGAATACTGAAGCAAACAATCATACTAGTGGTCACGCCGATGAAGACTTGTCGATAGGTTCACCTTTATAGTGATGACCAGTGCCAGTTAGCTGTATGCTGTATGACCCTAAGGTCCATGTGCCCAAATACTATATACTTTGGTCCAAAAGTACCTACGGAGGGAATACTTTTAAGGCCGAAGTATATACTGTTTGGGCACATGGACCCTCTTGGTGACATCCCAAGGATAAGGGCTTGGACTCGGCAGCCCAAACCCGGAACCCCAGACTACCAGAGCCTCCCACCCTCCGCCCTACAGTCCCAGACGGTGAAACTCTCAACCCCTACACCTAAGCACTCAACGGTCTAAACCTGAAACCCTGAGGCCTAAATATACCCTACCGTAAACCTTAAACTTACAAGCCCCAAACTCCAAACCTCTATAAAGTCCCCGCAAAGAAACCCTTAACGAACCCCATACAAACCCTAAAACTGAGCGAAGGAAAGGGGAAGATCCCCTGCGTCTGGTCTGATCCTGACACACCTCCTGAGAGGTTGCAGATCGCGTGCTGCTGTCAGCGAGGTGCTGGTGCTTGTCGTCTCCCCTATAGGACGCCGAGGGCGTTTTAGATGGTACCTACCCACGAGCTGCTGGTGTTGGTGTTGGCTCGGTGTTGGCCTGTTGGCATGTTTGGAGTTGTGGTTCCAGTTGTGACCGTCGATAATGTTATTATTGTTATTACTCTCGTTGTTGATGATGGTGTGGGTTGCTGCTGTCGTCTACACGGCCGTTCCAGATTACAGCACTCTTTCAGCTACAATACAACAACCGGATAGATTTCTTGGTGTTCCCTCTGGGGTGCTTCAAAGCTGTCGGGAGTCTGGTGGATTATAAGCCCTCTGCTTCGGCTAACCACATTCGCGTGACTAGTAACTGTGGGTAAGACCGAAGCTGATTTAGTAATTTGCTGTGTGCGCCCGTGTTGATACGGATTTAGTTTTCAGGCTGTGGTTTAGGATCTGTGTCGAATCCAACTTTGTGGCTAAGATACGGGGTCAGGGCTGAAAACAATGCTCTGCTCGAAGCCGCTTGAAGAAAAAATTGCTTCCATAGCTCCATGTCGCTATCGTGAAGTCGCTATTCATCTTTAGAACCTGTAACCCTCAGGTCGGCAAACGTAAGCTTGACAGCAGTTCACGAGCACGAATTCGCATTCTGCCTTCTCCATTTCGGAAGGATCTTTGAGCCAAGGCCGTCATGAGATTCGGGACTTCATAGCCATGCAGGCTCTTGGGCCCTAAAGTAGCCCTCAACGAAGGAGTGGAAGTCCCAAATCCAGTGGAAGCCCGTGCCCCAAGTCGTGTCGACTTGTCAGACTCTCATCGAAAGCTACGAGACCTTTGAATTTAGTGTAATGTAGGGGCCTTAAAAGTTAGAATGGGGCTTTGGGGCCCTTTTTAATAATGAGCCCCCCCAAAATAGTGTAGGTAATTATTCGGGCCCCTATAATATGTTGATTCCTAGCTCATGCAGCTGTTCCTCGACTCTGGGGCCAGGAATGCAAACATGACCAAACCACAAAGCCTGGATCTTGAGCCCATTCAGGAAAGCAGGGAGGTGGGTGGGTGCGTGGGTGGGTGGGTGGGCGGGAGGTGGGTAGGTAGGTATGTGGGTAGCATATGTTTACGCTGTTAAATCATGGCCATCATCACCCAAAATCACTTTCATAATCCTTGTCACAAGGCCCAGCCGGTCCAATCTAGTCCGTCTATAAAGCCAAACTTCGTCCAAGCGTAGAAGCTTTTCGTCTGCAAAAGTCTCGGCAGAGGCTTTGGACTGAGCTGCAAAGGCTCCGCCTGCTTTGCAGGCAGGCTCAGCCATGCCCTCCTCCCAGAGCTTTGTATAGCAGGTTTTGTAAGGCCTTATTGAAAAACCTGAAGACCAATTTCATGTAGGTGGCTAGTGCCCTTACATTCCAAGAATGCCATGTGTTCATTTCTTGAGCCCGGCTTACCTGTCAAGGATTCAAGCTGAGGTTCGTGCGTCCGCATGAACCCTAAACCCAAAACTAAGCTGCCAGCCCTAAGACAAACTGCAAACTTCGAACCCAAAACTCGAGAAGCCAAGCCCAAGCATCAACTAAGCTCTGCTAGGAAGACATGGTAGCAGCCAGGCATCGGAGACGTGCAGCTCGAATTTCTTGAACCAGGGGGTTTTCTCTTTTTGTTGTTTGATTCCACGGGTTTGGGCCAACGGGGTTTAGGCACTTGGGTTTCGGAATTCCCGGTTTGTCTTCAGGTGTGCAGGGGTCTTGAAGGTTTAGAGCTGCCCCTCAGCGAAACTCTTCTCTCAGACAGCTTCAAAACTAATTGTAGGTTTTGACAGGCATCCTGACCCAGAGGATACTTACTTCAGACCCAGTTGCTCATGGTTTCCGCCAGAGCCCCAAAACATGAGCCCTGTAATTCCTAAAAGCTCTAAATCTGAAACCCTAACCATCTCAAACAACCTGAGCCCCATATACTATAGCCTCTATAAATCTGAAACCCGGAACCCTAAACAACCCTGATCCCCTGGTCCGGTAGCCGCACACTGCACAGCCGAAAGGAGCTCTAGCTCCGGTACCCCCCAGCGCTGCTTCCAGCTGACTCAGCCTCAGTCCAGAGTTACGGTTACAGGGGTTTAGAGCTGTGGGGGAAGGGCTGTAGGAATTTAGCAAAGTACTGCCCTGATTAGGACATCTTAGACATGATCCTCTGAACGACATCGGGCTAGCAAGCTTCGCGACTGTGAGCTCGTTGCCCAAAAAGAGCGCAGATTTCCGAGCCTAACCCTGGCTCTCGAAAAAGCTACTCATTCGATGGCCCCGTCCTTATAAGCCCAAAACATTGAAGCCCAAAACCCTCAATTTAGACCGACGGCCCCGTCCTAAGCCCAAAACATAAAAGCCCAAAACCCTCAATTTAGACATTGCGCCTCAGCCCAAACCGTTCAACATCAGATCCGAGCTCAATGCCTCGTCGTAGTAGATGATGGTAGCATGCTTCGGGCTCGTCCTGAGGCCAGTCTGCTCTCCAAAACCCAAAATACTCTGACATTCTAAAACTATAACGACTGAAAACTACTAGAGTGTACTCTTACTATTACTATGATACACTCTAACTGGACCACCCAGCAACGACAGGGCATGGATCTTCCTGCAGTTGATATTTGCATGCATGAATGTAGGTATCCGTATAGTCCCATCTGCACAGGCAATTGCCGCAAAGCAAACCGCCAACAGCCACCTTATTCTGAAAGACAAGCCCTTTCCAAACAAGAGACTGACAGCCATGGTCCAACAAGGTCATGCGCAGCTGGGCCACTCGGAAACAACATGACGGAGACAGACTTGTTGAGGTCATGCTGGAAAGTTTGATGTTGCCCGGTAGCATTCTTGGAGTGCACGAGAAATGCAGCAAAAGACATCTCCGGTCGGCTTAGAAAGGACGGTTCCATCCAAGTGGAAGAGTTTCTGAGTCAGGAACTGTTCAAGCTGCAAGGTGACCGAACAAGCACTCCACGTACTAAACCAAGCGCCGCCAAGACTACAAACCTATAAGCCAAAACCAATCCAAAAGCTCAAGGTGCGTGGGCCAAGATTTTAGTTAAGACCTATTAATACAAGTCCGAGAGCAACCGACTACAATAGCCTCGGAAACTTCGGTGTCCTAGGGTCTGATCAAACAAAGACCTACAATGACGAAGCTCTAGCGAACCTTGAGCTCGTTAATGAAAGTCACACAGCATCCGTAAACCTACAAACTGAAACTGTACAAAGGCCGAACCCGCAACCACGAAAAAAAACATAATCGACAAAAGCCCTCAAGCAAGAAAGCCCTCTGAAGATTCTACTCTCGAAACCAACTGCCGTAAACCCTAAACCCGACAAGCCCCAAACAAATGTACTGTAAGGCATATAAACCAGAAAACTGGGTGGTTATCATGGTCCCTTTTTGGGTCCCGATTGTAATACGGCACCTGTGATTTAGGGTACCCCAAAAAGGAACCTTAATTTTGACAACTGCCCATCTACAAGCCCCAAATGCTTGCATTGCGAGGCACACGGCGGGATGCAAGGAAGCCCCCAAACCTCAGGGCCGGCAGTGTATTAAGAATGCAGAACTTGTGGGTTCATATTCTTATCGAGGCCTGAGAAGTCAGTAGTCGTAGTAGTAGCAGCAGCAGGAGTAGTAGTAGTAGTAGTCGTAGTAGTAGTAGTAGTAGTAGTAGTAGTAGTAGTAGTAGTAGTAGTAGTAGTGCATAACAAAAAACAGGTATAGTAGTTGTATGTGTGCATACAAATAAACATATACAGACAAAACTCAATAAGTCAACATCTGTATACATATATACATATATATGTACATATGACCCCTATAAATTCCATATTGGGGCTTATCGTGATTGCGAGACCAGTGATTCCTACATTCTCTGCAAACGTATGTGACATGCTTTCATTTTTGTTTACTTACATACAAACTTACACACCGAGATGTACAACTTAGTGCATCCGACGCCCCCCTCAGTTTGAGGCCAGCTACATGAACAACTGCGTGAAAACAGCGCAAAGCCCGAACAAGAAACATAATCTACTTTTGAAAAAATTATGACACCCTTGGGGTAACCCTTCTGAACCCTTTACGAAAACCCTCCTAAGCCAGTAAGCTTCTAAGTTTGGCCAGGCTATGAGCTGCCTCAGGGCTCTTCGAGCTGAGGGCCAGGCACATGGAGGCGAGCTCCTCAGCCAACTGGTCCTTCGGCTTACTCGGAGGTTCGTGGGTAGTTATAGGTGGGGTTTCAAGTCCCTAAAATAGGTTCTGACTGGAGTTATCCTACGTTCCTAGTATATATAGGTTGTTACTATAGTTTGCCTACTTACAGCCCTAAGAATAACTACCCATGAACCTCCGAGTACGGTCCGTGTCATGCGTTACGAAAAGGGTTGCTACAAGGGGTACTATCAGGGAGGGATACTATCGGGCGCACTTTAACGGTTGGTATCAGGGCTACTGCACGGGTTGCTGTGAGGGCCAACTGGTCCCTCAACAGAAGTTTGTTTCATTCTCGCTGACGTGTTTCAAAGACTAAAAGCAGAACAGGGGTTTGGACTTAGTGGCTAAATTTAGGTCTTTGAAAAAAACATAGGTTTTAGGTTTGTTAAAAACTTAAAACATAGGTACATAGGAGTCTTACAAAAAACCTAGGGTTTGGAGTTTGGGATTTGTGGCTTGGGATTTGGGGTCCAGGGAGGCCTCCCATGCAGTACATAGAGCCGACGAGCCTCAAACATAAAAGCGGCCTACATGAGGGCACCTCCGGCTTGTGGAGCAATATAGCAAAGAGGCCTTAATGAATGGGTAGAACAGGGTCGTTGGGGTCTCTTCTACTTTCGTAATCTGGGGCATCTGGCGAAGTACTAGTACTAATTACGAATTCAGACCCCTATAGTGGGGCGTTCTCTTCAAGGTATCTCTTCTCAGGCCGTTTCGAGCTTGGCACAAAGTCTAAAGGGCACTTCAGAAGTACCGCCACGAAAAAGGTTCATCTAGGCAGACAGTAAACCACTACTGAACCACTACATCCGAAGGACAAGAACCGCGAAGATAGTGCGACATGGCATGATACTCCTTCTTTTCATCTCCGTAACCCGTCAGGGTGGCCGTTCTCTGGCGACCTTGCCACTGCCTTGCGACGGGAAACTCAGAGGGTGGGACGGTGGGCTGGCGTTTGAACCCTAGGGCTGTAACCTACCTTAAGGCCCCAAAGTAGTTCCTTTCTGGGGTCATCTAGAATCCTATAAGGTAATCGCGACCGACCGCTCAAAAGTCTCGGGCAGTACTGCACGCTTGTGGAAGCCCTCAAGATTATGGAAGCCTGGGAACCAAAGGCACGCGAACCCGAGTTTGCGTGGGATGCGAAGTAGGCTTCGGGCTTTAGGGCTCAAGTCACTCTTTTGGGAGGTTGCGTATTCAGTGGAAACATCAATAGTGAACCCTTAACGAAAGGAGCTATCATCCGATCTAACCACAGTATATGGGAGTTTCCGAAAATAGGGGACCCTAATCTAGTACCCGAAATCGTAGGATCCTTATTATAAGGATCCCCAAATTAAGGGACCCCTATTTTCGGAAACTCCCATATTCTCCAACCCCCTCCCCAGAGACATGGCTCCGCCGCACCTCGGCGACGGAGGATCCAAGTCTTTCGCAGGAGCCAGGTTCACCACCACTTGGCTGTTGGATTGCCTGGCGCCGGGCCACTGGACCAGGATGGTGTAAGCGGAGCAGTATTGTAACATGGTGTGCTTTGCATAAGGCGCAGATTAAGGAGTTTCCGGAAAAGAGGGGACCCTAATGTAGTACCCTAAATAGTAGGATCCATATCATAGGGACCCCAAAATAAGGTACCCCAGTACCCCCTAACTTTCGCAAGCTCCCATCAGGTGAAAAGAAGCCTGAGCGCAGACCCAAAGCCTCGATACCTGAACACCAGCGGCAACCGCAAACGCCAATCGGGCCCTAAACCGGAAAACCCTGAATCAAAAAGAGAGCCGCTATGTACAGGTTTGAGTATTTGTTCAAAGTCAAAATACATGCCTTGTAGCCCGGATGTAACATGTTCATTCATACGCTCCTGATATCATTCCCCAACCCGCCCCCCCTTCCCAGCCCAAGCCTCCAGCACCAACAGCAGGGTTCCAAGAACTTCACCGGCTCCTCTGTGAGAAGAAGCAGGTCAGTCTATGCAGTGGATATTTCTTGTGATTAGTGAAGCTGTTGCTACAGTGCTCATCGTCATCACCATCATCATCATCATCGCCGCCATTAGTTATCACATTATCATGCAGATTCGAAAGATAGGGTCAAAGCGGTGCTCGCACTCGTCGTATCCGTCGTCTCGGCGTCGACAATTGTGACCGCTGCAGTTTCGCTATTCTTCTTGGCACCTCTTCCAGAGGTCCACTTTCGACAGAGAACTCATTTATGCTTGGGGTTCAGGCTCTGAGACTCGTAGGGCGCACAGGTTTCTGGTAAACGCGGCTGTGACTAGGCGTCGGGACATATGAGGTCTTTTTCGCGACGAAGTCGTTTCAAGAGAGTGAACGGCGAACCTATACCTAAGTGAAGCACCAACATACCCTACCCTCAATGCAACAACCCTCACGGCCAAAACATGCCAAAACTCACAACATCCGCACCCTGGGCCCTAAATTTTTCTACGCTAAACTCTAGACTGCGAGCACTGCGAGCCCGAACCCTCGACACCCCAATTTACGGCCAGGAGTGTCCAGCCGGTCAGCACTCTCGGGCATTGTCATCGTGCCGGTCACGTGGCCTCCAAGGGAGGCGCCATCGGGTTTACTTGGAGCTTCATGGGTAGTTTTAAAGGTTCCTTTACGGGGATCTATAGGGATTCTATGAGGGCTCTATAAGGGTTCTATAATGGGAGGTTCATGGGTAGTTATTGGTAGGGTTTATAAGTAGGATAACTATATAGTTATAACCCATATCAGGGGGCTTCTAACCCCACTTATAACTACCCAAAAACCTGCAAGTAAGGTTGGGATGCAGGGCTTCGGGACAGGGCTGAGGCTTAAGCCGCTCCGATCCCGATTTCAACCGTGGCCTCCTCAAGTTACCTTCTGTTTGAGAGAAGGACGCACGAACAAGGTTTTTGAGGTTTAGGGGTTTTAGGGTTTAGGGTTTTGCGGTTTAGGGCTTTAAGGGTTTATGTAGGGTTTCGGGACCCCCAGCTACAAAAGCGGATGTTGTGTTCTGTCATTTGTCGTCTGATTGTTTAGGACCGGGCTTGTAGGCTCTGGCCCTGCGCGTGGCCTTTGATGACAAGCTGTGCGGAATGGCCGGCTGGCATGAAGAGCTGGAAGTCAAGAAGCCTTTGCTCAAAGGGGAAAAGGAGGGACCCTTCATGGTATAATGGGGCTATATAATGGGTATATAATGGCTATGTTATGGGTATATATACCTAGGGGTCCTTACTAGGGGTCCCTCCTTTGACCCCTTGATTTAGCACTGATGAAGCTATGGGGCTTCAGGTTCTCAGGATGTACAGGGATTAAGTCTCGGGGATGACGGTCTAGTAGAGGGCTTGGGTCGGGGTTGTTGGATTTCAGGGCCTGTAGGTTGACATAGCTTACCACAGCCCCAGCAAAACAAGCCTGAGACGTTGCAAAAACCCATAGATACCGAAACCCCCCTGAACTCAATATCCAAAGTCCCACGCCCCAAAACCCTCAACACCGAAATCCTTATATCCTATGGCCAAACCGCGAAATGAAAGCAAGCCCCCAAATCTTTGTACCCTATGACCAACCGTAAATCTTTCAACCCACAAACCCCTGACTCTAAACCCCAAAATCCTTATGACTCCAAAACCCAAAACCCTAAGCACCCTACTGTTGATGGACACAATCCTGCATGATCCTAAGGACTCTAAACTATGGGAACTATGGTATATTCCTTATAACGGGTAATGCAGGATTTTGTCCATCAACAGTATGACCCCCAAACCCTATGAACCCCTGCAACACAGGAAAGCTCTGAACACTCCTGAAACACCCCATGACGTCTAAAGCCTGACGCCCTTAAACCCCAGGACACCCCTGAACCCCTGAAAAGCGCTTTATAAGAACCCTTAGCCCTCCATAGTAGCTCCTTTTTGGGATTACCGTATGGGATTCTATATATGAAGCCCCAAAAAAGAACTACTATCAACCCTCCAAATAAACCCTAAAAGCCGTCCCCCGGGCCCGTGGCTCGTGAAGCGGCAGCTCCACAGCCTCCATGCTCATCAGCTCCACACCGGCCTTCGTGTTTCGTTTTAGGGGTTGTATAGGGTTTAGGCGTTCAGGGTGTTAGGATAGGGCTTGGGGGTTTCCAGCTGTTTCGTGCCTCTTGCTTTGTTTTCTGCGCACAACATCACAGACACGATCATCGCTCTTCTCACTTGAATTTATTTTGCATGGAATGATTGGTGTAAGGCCTATTTGGATATCGAGTTCTAGGTTCGGTGTGTGGGGCTGCAAGCGGAGGCGAAGAGCCACAGCCGCTTCGTCACACCAACTCGTGCAGGTCAGGTCATTGCGAGCAAGGAAGCGACCTCGCTCCAGGCATCCCTGCCGAAAGATGAGCTGTCCTACATCGTAAACGTCATAAACCCTACGACTAAAGAACTTAACCTTAACCCGCCAAACTACCTTCAAACTAAGCTTTAGCCCCGCAACGCTAAACAGGAAAGCCCAAAGGCGCTTCAAATGGACGGCCCCTGAAGCCTCAATCGGACCGTATAAAGCCCCGGAGCCCAGCGAGGTCAGCAGCCCTGTTCAGGTTTATGGTTTACGGGTCTAATTAGCCGGCTCATAAGGTTTCGGGTTTGTGTATATTTTATTACCGTTAGGCCGAAAATCACCGTGTCGACGCCTGGCAAGAGAAGCCCTGACCACCTGCCATCAGGGAGACTCAAGAGGAGCTTCTAGTGTTTGGTAAGGCTTTGGGGTTTCAATTTTTTTTCAACATTTACGGCTTGCGGGGTTTGGGATAGGTTTGCGGGGTCTCGGGCTTATTTTAGGCTCAAATCCTGGGTCCTCAACGAACCATGCTGCCCAGTGCGACTACTACCAGGGGCTAGCTTGTTTTGCTTTGGGTTCTTGGTGTGTGTGTGTGTGTGTGCTCTTTTCCAACTGAATGTGCTCCGTGCAACGTTCATAATTTTTTCCTACCCCGATTGCAATCCCCTGATACACCAGCCAGCCTCTACAAGGGACGATGCCTGTGGAATATGCACGTCACTGAGCAAGAAGAAAAACCAGGTCCCATAAAGCAGCAACCACGAACCGCAAGGAATCGAAGGTCTTGCGACCGCAGTGTGCCGACAGCTCTGCATCCGCTGCGCTTCCTTCATGACACAGATCGAGAGGATGCAGCTGCTGAACCTTGTCAACTCCAAGCCCCTGACATGCACTACCTAGCAGTAATGGAACCCCTGAACTCTTAAACCGTGAACCGTCAGCCCTAAACCCCTAAAGGCTCAGCCGTGCCTTTCAGGGGCTTCAGAATCACACGGGAGATGCTCAGTGCCGTGGCGGAGAGCCTTGGGCGATGGAGCTTCAGGGACGGCGCAGCTTTAGGTCCATCCATCCCGGATAGACAGGAAATTATGTAAGTTAAATTTTGCATATGTTCAGAGTTCAAACGGAGTTCACAGCTTCTGTGACATTGACTGCCATACTTAAAGGATCAGGCTGTCGGCCGGGGGCAGTGTCGCCACGACAAAAAACTCAGCGGCCAGGGGCTTCGTAATTGAGGGGGACTATAATTTAGTGCCACGGGTAGGGTTTTGTAATTGAGAGGATCTTTTTGTCGGGTACTTCTTGTTCTGTGTTGTTTGTTTTGTAGCAGGGAGAAAATGCAGCTACTGCGACCGCTTCAGCAGTGCAGAGGGAGAGAGAGAGAGAGAGAGAGAGAGAGAGAGAGAGAGACTGCAGCTACTACGACCGCTTCAGCAATGCTGAGAGCGAAAAACTGCAGGGACTATCAGCAGTGCAGAGGGAAAGAAACTGCAGCTACTACGCCCGCTTCAGCAGTGCAGGGACAGTACTACTGTACTGCTCTACTGCTACTACTACTACTACTTCTTCTTCTACTGCTGCTACTGCTACTACTGCTACTGTGCTGCTGTACTACTACTGTACTACGACTGTACTACTACGGTACTATTGTGATACTGTACTGCTGTACTATGACGACCGACCCCCCGCAACACTCAATCAACCCTGCCCGGGGCCTGCAATCAAACCAAGGGGGGTTGTAAAAAGGAAGTCGACATTAAAGCTCTTGGCACCGGACACAGCGAACTGAACAATGTAGCCCAAAGACGGCACGGTGCCACCAACCTCAAGAATGGTGCGATGGTGTTGCAGGGTGGAAGGCATGGCCTGAGGTCTGTAAGTATAAGCTTTAACCTGAGTGCCTTCAAACAGGACTCTTTGCCGGACAGGGGTTCTATGAGGCTTACGACAGGGTTGAGGATGCCAGGACAGGATGAATTAGCAAGGCTTTCTGGTTCAGGTCTGAGAGCACGAGATTGGTGCGGCAGCCAGCCTCAGTCTTGATAGCATTCGTCCGTGCTGACTCGGAATCGCGAATCTGAATTTGGCCCAAACACAGCAAGCAAGTCGTCAAGGAGCTTGTCGGAGAAGGTCTGTTGCCTATCTTCCTGGACAGCTCCCCGGCAGCCTCTACACAGCCTTACACGACGAGATTGAGGCAAAAGCCCAATCAGATTGAGGCAAAAGTGGTGTGGACACCAGCTCAAGCACAGCAGGAAACCTAGAGCAGGAAACCTGGCCCCGTAAGCTTGACAGCCCTGACCTGCGCACACTCCGCATATCGCAAAGTAGGTATTATCTACTATCGCAACACCATAAAAGCAGGTATGCAGGTGAGGTCCTGGGCCCCCGGCCCAGCCGAAGGCAACTTCCGTGTCGTCTTTGGCGAAGCCTTAGGGATGTGTACACGGTTTCAAAACTTATTAAGTGTTGAAGGTTTTATGATTTTAGATTCTGCTCTACTTACACAGTTGTGTATATATGTATAGGTATGTATATGTAAGGAGATATTATATGTATGTACTGTATATATAGAAAGAAAGAAAGAAAGAGAGAGAGAGAGAGAGAGAGAGAGAGAGAGACTGAGAGTGTGTGTGTGTGTGTGTGCGTAAGCCTCAGTTGCTCAAGGAAGAACTAAACAAAATACACTTAAGCAACGCATCACGGAGCCAGGGGAGGCTGGGCGATTCTCTAGTTCACCCATGGGCAACGATAACGGAAAGATCTCGAAAAGAAGGTTCGACGAGTTCCCCTAAGCCTTAAAGTCCGAAGCAAAAACAGAGGCAGGATCCTTGCAACCCTAAACCCTACCTTATCCCTGAATAACCTACCGTACTAGGGCCCCCGAATATGATTTCTTTATATAAGTCCCTAAAACAGTAGGATATTTGGGGTTAAGGTAAACCCTAAGGGGGGCACCAATTTCCTCCGGTTCCCGAAGGCTCGGACTATTGAGCTGAGCGTGCTGCAACTTTTCAGTGCCTCGGATTCCTACAGAGCTGGCATATAGGGTTTAGGGGTTTAGGATTTTAGGGTTTAGGGGTTTAGAGGTTTAGGGTTTTAGGGTTTTAGGGTTTAAACCTCGGAATCGTAGCCTCATGAGCACCAAAGTGCAAGAAGCCAATGTTGAAAACGCGCAGAACCCTGAGCCCTCATCGATGCGGCACTTTTGGGTGGCGGACAGATCTTTCCCTGAAATGCTGCCGGCATCTGCATCTTCAAGGAACCTCTGCCATTCCCAGATGGGAGTTTCGCAATGTTCTCTCAAACTTCCAGATGGGAGTTTCCGGAAATTAGGGGACCTTCTCTGGGGGTCCTTAAAGTGAGGATCCTGCTATTTAAGGGTTCCCTATTTTCGGAAACTCCCAGATAGATGCCAGGGTTACAGCAGGTTGCGGAGTGTGCTCTAGGCCAGTTCGGCTGCAGGATCACAAGCGATACGAAGCGTTCTCTGGTGCATCAACCCCTAGCCCTAACCCCAAAACCCCCTAAAAAATCATAACGAAAATAAGAATAAGAATAAGAATAGTAGGGAGCCCCGATAGGACCTGACGCATAAGTCCTATAGTTACCCTTCCTTTTCATAGAGGACCTCCGCGTTATGCTGACTCGCCGTGCAAGGTCGCAGAGTCGAAGCTTGGCTCCCCTTGAGGTTCCCCCACAGCGGTTTAGGGTTTAGGGATAAGGTTTAGGGTTTAGGGGCTCAGGGTAAGTGGTAGAGGGCTAGGGGCGTGCGTGGAGGGGCTTAGAGTCAAGGCTTTCTGATTGGAGCTGAGGGTACATGCTGGAAAGCTACTCGGAGCCTCATGTAAGCCAAGAACCCTGCACCCTATGCAAACATTCAAGCATCTTTGTCTCAAGGCCCTAAAGGTTACGTCCAAACACCTGACAAGGTAAGCCTTGTCATGAAGGGAGGCACTCTTCCATAGTCTTGGGTTCAGAGACGGTTTAGGGTTTATAGGGTTATAGGGTTGGGCTATGTCTAGACTTCGTCACTGTGCTGGGAGGGGTTTTCCTACAGAACCTGTCGTAGCTCCGATGCTATGCCACTTGGATGTGGTCACCCCTGAGCTGAGGTTCCAAGAACACAGCCGACCCCCCGCCTGCTCCGAAGGAATGCCGATAAAAATCAAAACACGACTGCAGCGCCAAGAGTAGCGAAACAGAAGTGACCCCACAAGTAGAGCCACAGTAGGGTGAGAAGAAGCCTATAAGCCCTGAGCTCTACGGCCTATACTCCTATACTCCTACACCCCTAGGCCCCTCAACCGTAAGAGCTCCGCGTCGGTGGCCTGACTGCCCAACCGCCAGTCGCTCTGCGCCGCGGTAAGCACCTGCGGTGAAACGTCACCAGGAAAACAATCCTCCAAATCCTTCAATATAGTGCCGGATTGCCCCACAGTTGCAAAGCGTATGCCCCACATCATCAGAAAAATGGAAAGCAAACCTGTAGCCTCCAGCCCTTCATACAGAAAGGTAGGTTACCGCCGCCGCCCCGTGATTGCCGGGTGTAAATCTCACAATAATCGGTTTGGGTCTCCACAACAAGGCATCCTGTAGATGACTCTTTTAGTTTTGCATGGTTTCGCGGGATTTCGGGCTGAGGGTTCAGGACCAGGATTTGTGTCGCTTCTTGTGAACATGCCCTCCGTCTCCGCGCCCGGACGGGTTTGCCGCGATTTTTGCTTCAACCAACATGTCGCTGCCCTCGTTTTGGGGGTCAAGGCCTCAACAAAGCTGACCAGGAGCAAAGTGCTCCTAGCTGACAGGGGTACCCCGCCCTCCAATGGGTGGCTCCGCGATTGGAGCCACAGTTCAACACGTCTCGCGCACCCGAGCGCACCGGCGGGATCGAATAGTTATCGCGTCCATCAGCAGGTCCTCCATTTGCGGCGATTCTTCTTCGTCAACATCAGAAAAGGTAACAAGAAAGCAAATCACAGCGACAGTGCTGCTCGCCATCGTCATCTAAAATCATGATCCTGGTCGCCAGCGTCATCGTGAGAAGGTGCAGATACGGAGGACTTCGGCGCGAGGCTTTGCGGATCACCACCAGAGACTGAAATTGAGACAATTGAGGGGCCTCGTAATTAATTTCCTTATTTGGGTATTGTTGCTGCAAGAGAGACTGACCCGCGGCATCAACAAAATAACACCGCGCGCCCTTTTTATGCTTGAAGCTAGTGTGAATTCAGATTTCGGAAGTGGGGCATCCCTTATTGACACCCCTAACAGGATCGTGATCACGCACAACCCGAAGGCAGGGACCCCATGTTGCCTTAGAGTTTGCGGAAGCCCTTGCTTGTTGCTGCTTGATCAATTCGGTTGCGCAGGATTTGAGATTTTGTAGGGTTGAGGATTTGTTGGGCTGGAATAGCTGTCGACTCCGGAATACACCAAACTAAACCTCAAACCCCCAAGACCTAAATCCTAAAGTCCTATAAACCTTACAAGCCCTAACCTAGAAGGCCCCAACCCCGCCGAACATTCATCAAGAACCAGAAAGCCTAGGAACCCTAAACAACTATAGTATAACCCTTATAGTAACCCTTTAAAGGAACCCAATTTTCTACTCACGAAACGCATAAGGACCCCCCGGAGCACCGCTCAGCTCTGCTGCAGCCAAGACGAGGCCCTGCTGCCGCACAGCCGGGTCTTTGCACCTTTGCTGGAACTGTTTTAAAATTCTAGGATCCAGGGTTGAGTGTCTTTAGCTTCAAGGGCGGCAGCAGCTTTTGGACATTGGGCTTTTGACTTCAGGGCTTGCAGATGGAATTTTCAAGTCTTGTTGTGTTTATGTATTAGCAGGTCTTTAAGGAAAATGGAAGTCTAGTTGTGTCTACGTACCCTTAGGTCTTCAGGGCCACATGTCTTGGTGTTCAGAAAGGCTTGGTGTTCAGAAGGATTCTAGGGACAGGGGTTGCGGCACACATGGCTGTGGGGGCTTAGGGTTTTATTGTTTGTGGATGGGGCTGCAATATGGGTGGTTGTCAAAATTAGGGTCCCTTTTTGGGTCCTGATTATAATACGGTACTTAATAATTAAGGTGCCCAAAAAGGGCAAAGCTCCTCAGCATAACTGCGCTGCATAGTGTGGCCTATCCCAAACTCCATTTCAATTTCCTCCTCTGTCGGTATTTGGGAGTTTCCGAAAATTGGGGACCACAATATAGTACCGTAAGTAGTACAGTAGGATCTTATTATAAGGATGCCCAAATAAGGTACCCTAATTTTCGGAAACTCCCAAAACCCTAAACCCTAAACCCAGTAGATCCCTTATAGGAGCCTTTAAAGGAGCCCTTATATCCGTTTTGAGGTACCCCTAAATTTCGGCAACCCCCCTTTAGGAGTTGGACTTTCGTGCTTAGCCTTGACTTGTGACCGGCTAAGAACTGAATGACGGAACTCGAGACTTGGGAGTTTCCGCAAATAATGGGTACCATATTTGGGGGTTCCTTGTAATAATAAGGATCCTACTGTTTAGGGTTCTGTATTAGGGTCCCCTGTTTTCGGAAACCCCATTCCGATCTTGAGTAAAGGTATAGACATGAGTGGTTGTCAAAATTATGGTCCCTTATTGGCTCCTTAATGTACTGCTGCACCTAATATTTAGGGTATCACAAAAAACATGATTTTGATAACTGTACACATCGAAACTCGGACTCCCTCAACTCAAAATAGTTATACCGCGTGCAAGGCTTGCATGGACAAGTTGTTCGCATTCGTGTCATGGGACTTGATGTCTCCACTGAACTTGCAAACTCTATAAGGACTGACAGTGTCTATGGTTAATTAACTATTATTTATTTATAAAGCTTTGGGTTTCCCGGGCGCACATACATTGCAAACCGCGAACACGGATGTAGGGTCTTTGCTTTCGGGATGTATCTAGGCAGTGTTGGGTGGTTTGCCAGCTGCAAAATCCAAACCAACGCAATGATGATGTAGAGTGTGGCTCAAGCATGGCATGCAGCCCCAGAGCTTGTATATGCCCTAGATCCAAAAATGCACACCCTAAGCCGTACATGCGGACTGTTCCTGTGGCTTGATTTGGATCACCCCGAGCCCTCGAGACCCCCTCATAAACTCCTGCAGCCCCTAAAGCCAGGAAGCCCCATAGTTGTTTTTTTGTTGGTTGCCATTCCCTGCGATATAGTCGTAAACGAAGAGGGCCCATCTAATACAGAAGCCTGAATGCTTACCAACATTCCCTAAGGCTCTAAGGACTCAAAGATTAAAGCTTTTGGGCCAAAATACCGTATTATGCAAGGCTTTTGGGCCATTTTGAGCCTTAGGGATTGTTCCTTGGGGTTCCATATTCGACCAAAACCATATTCCAGTTAGAAAAAGGCCCCATGTCACCATCTTCGGATCCAAGACACGCGGTCATCTTTCGGATATCTTCGGACAGCGCCTGGTCGCAGGCACGCCGGAGTCCACGCTGTTGTTGGCTTTACTCTTTGTTGATTGCTGAGTTTTGTTGTTGGGAGCGGAGTTTCCAGTGCACTAATAAATGGTTTGATGGTTTACAGGGCTTAAAGGTGGTTATTATAACCCAACACGAACACGTAACAAACGGCGTTGTGCTGGATAAACTGTCCCGAAACCACCTGTGTTCAAGCCAAGCCTTTACACTTGTCTTCTGGTCCATAATACTCAAGAACTAACCTCAAGTCGAAGAAAACTTTTTGAGCCACAGGACAAACGTCCCAGAAGCGAACTGCCTCACAAGGAGCCGTCTCCACCGATAACCCCAAATAGGGACCAATCGCATCTAATTCCAGAAGACTTTCAACCTCCCAACCCTAAATCCTGAACTCTTCGAGCCATATAGACCCAAAACTTCTGAACCCTACACCCTAAGGGTCCAAGTACCCAATTATCATATACTCTCAAAAACAGTAACCTACATAACTAGTATCCTAAATCCGAGTACCTGATTATTGGGTCCTTTGGACCCTTTGGGTACACCTTACTCCGGGTTCGCGCCAGCTGCTCAAACTCGGCTGCCGCCCGAAGCGTGGCAGAACCATTGACCTTCTGCCTAAGCGAGAAGGGCTTAGGGTTTATGGAGAGGGCTTAAGGTTGAGGGTTTAAGTGGAGTCCCGGAGAAGGGTTTAGGGCTGAAAGCGTTTAGGATTCAGGGTGGAGGGTTCAGGGTTTAGGGTTCAAGCTTCGGGGTTCCGGTTTTAGGGAAGAAGGGAGTGAGGGCTTGAACTCTTGGGTTCAGCTTTGGGGCCTGAGGTTGCGCAAGCTTTCGCAAGACATAATGGGCGAACCTTTAAAACCGACGTTGAAGAGTGCAGGCTAGACGACGGGTCATCGGGACTATGGTTTAAGCTTTTGAGTTCTACTGAAAACACTGACGGGCGGCCGGGTTCAGGGTTTAGGGACTTGGGTTGCAGGTCACCAACATCTCGAAGCCCCAAAACCACAAGCCCTCTTCCCGAAACCTGTAGAGAATCCTAGAGCCCATACAACCTCGTCCGCAAGTTAACGCTACGTAGCATCTCTTGTGACCCACTCGCAATCACTACAGGAATCCTGTGTGGTTCCGAATGCGTGTCATCCTGCATCGTCCGTTGCAAAAAGCCGTGCCAGAAACACTTACCCATCACCTTCCTAATCTCATTGCAAAGGAGTAATTAGCGCTTTACTGCAATGGAGTTCCCAAACCAAGCCGGATAGGGCTCAAAATTTCAGGGACGGTTACTTCATCTTCGCGATTGCAAAGGGTTTAGGCATATATTGTGGTAAAACCGCGAAAAGGAACCGGAAGCAAAACAGCTAGTGGTTTTTCAAGCGGCTATCATGCGCACACCCCTTCCCTCCCGGTCCCTAAACCCTAAACCCTACTTAAAGGATCTTGGGACTTAGTACCTGTGGTTATAATTAGGCTAACTATACTTGTACTTATAACCATACTTACTAAGTCCCATGATCCTTTAAGTAATCTGTTCTGGGGGCCGGCACTCAACAATCTGACGATTCGCCTGGGTTGGAAGAAGGCCATGCTCCAAGATCTTCAGAGCCTTGGCTCGGTTTAGGGTTTAGGTCTAAGGGTTTAGGGTTTAGGGTGAGTGGCGAAAAGTTGCATTAGTTTTGTTTTAAAGTGCAGTGGGGCCTTTTCTCGCAGTGCATTAGGGTTTGGGCTTTGGGGTTTGGGGCTTACCTTAACCCCGAATAACCTGCCGTTTTGGGGTTCCCTATTATTAGTTCCCTTATACACGTCCTTGAAAAAGTAGGTCTTTAAGGGTCCAAGTAAGACTTGAGAGCTGAGAGTTGGAAGTGCTGGAAAATCCCAGGCTTGCCAAGTTTGCCTTTGGGACGTGGGTGTCATGGCTCTCAGGGCGTGTCGGGGTTCAGGCTTATATAACTTTAATAAGGAACCCCAAATAGTATAGGCCAGTATAGGTAATTATTCCAGCTCCTATATTAATCTGGGGCTCTTGTGTTTAGCCTCGTATTTGGGCTTACATTCTTGCCACTATGGGACCTCGAAACAGCGATCTAAACTCACACCATGGTCTACACCCTAAGCCGCAGCTTTTAAAGGGCCGCGGGGCTTTTAGTTTTTTAATCGAGTCAAACTTGGCCTCTACACCCTAAACACTACAAACCCTAAACCTTTAACCCTGTAGACTGCTATACACGCTTAACCTTGAAAAAACAAAAAACCCTACTAAGACTAGTATTAACCCTAAACCCTACACCGTGACCCCTACACCCCTGACCCTTACGCCCCGCTCTCTTAATTCCTCCGCTTCACGAGGCCCTTGTGGCTTTCCTCGGCCGAGCCTCTGCCCTCCAACTGTTCTTCCATCCATCCGAACCCTCAACCCTAAACTCTAAACCCAAACCATAAACCCTATACCTACAGACCCCAAAACCTGAACCCCAAACCCAAATCCGATAAACCCAAACCAAAAACGCCCTAGGCATACGCCGCATGTTTGGCTTTGAACTCCCACAAAGGGCAGCTCTCGACTCCCTCTCTCAGCGCCCGGAACTTGAGTGCTTAAGCCCAACTCCAAACCTCTCCGACAGTTTAGAGTTCATCTCTAAACCCCAAACCCAGAATCTCTTAACCCTCGAACCCACCCCCAAACCACCCGAAACGCGCCGGACGTACACCCCGGTCCCCTAAGCCTGAACCCCCGAGGCGGCCGCCATTTGGTCAAGATAGTCTTCCCAACCTCTGGGTTTGGGGTTTAGGGTTTAGGGTCCTCCCAACCTCTGCTCACCGGGGAAAGCTAGAATCCTCTTCAATGAGGGAGTTTCCGAAAATTAGGGGTACCTCGAATGGGATCTGTAAGGGATCCTTTAAAGGCTCCTATAAGGGATCTACAGGGTTTTTGGTTTAGGGTTTGGGATTTTCCGAAAGTTAGGGGGTACCTTATTTTGGGGCCCTTACAATAAAAATTCTACTATGTAGGGTACCCCTATTTTTGGAAAGCCCCATGAGGACTTAGGCCAGATGCCTGGCTGGTCGGAGCGCATTAGCATGTAGAGGCAAACAACTAAACGCAGGCCTTGCAGCTGAACATGCTACACGAACCAAGAAGACTGTGCATAGACACTGGCTAAGTTGTACTGCCCTCCAATGACGGTTTCGGTGCAGGGAAGTTAGGATTCACCAGGTCCAAAGAGTACAAAGAAGAGTGTGCTACACAGGTGCTGGAGCTAAACACTGTGTGGTCGCTGATTGCTCGTCAGTCTCTCCGGGTTGACTCTGCAGATCAACAAACATGTTTTGTGTTGCTACAATTACATCTCACACCCATGTCCCATTTCGGGTGTCGTGGGCAATTACCCAGGACCCTATAGGCCCTAAGCTTCCCAATAACCTTACCATTATGAATACCTTTCTTCAAAACCCTGATCTCTGAACCTTCAACCCAAATTCCCAAAGCTCAAAGCTGACTTTACTTCTCCAGGATTTTCTGGGGGGTCGGACGCAATGCCCGCACCATGAATAGTGTCGCACGCGCCAGGAACTTTTCCTGACCTCATTCTCGAGCTTTTTTCTATGGATTCCTTTGGGGGATGAGGGGTTTTTAAGTTTACAGACGCCAATGTGCCCTGAAGAAGGATCCGCAAGTTATCTCTTGTATAGTTAGTGCGTAGTTAAGACGAAATCATCGCACCGAGGAGGGCTGGTGTGTTAGAGGGGCTCCAATACCGGATTACTTCTCGAAGAGTCTCTGCATAACCCAAGCCATTGCAGACTGGCATCATGCCTCCGACGCCTCAGCCAGAAAACCGCAAAAGCGCAACTTAGAGTTGGAATAGGATTGGGGTTTGTACGCATGTATAGGGGCACTAAGTGGAATAGTTACATCAACAATGCGATGAATGACCCGACGCTGGAGTATATACTAACATAGCAACATGGACCCTGAGTGCGAGTTTCCGAAGATCATGTGCAGGTCTCTGCCTTTCAGACAAGCCCCTTCAAAGCATGTGTGTTCAAGGCATCCTGAACAATCCTGTAGCGTGACATCAGTGTGCAGTGGTGTAGCCATGACTTCCATGGTTTGAGACGCAAGTTTTGTGGAACTCCGCCCCTTGAGGAGCAGAGTCCAGATTTGCCGGAAGCTTCAATCTCAACCCAAAGCTCCAAACCGGCAAAGCCCGATCCCCAATCTGAACCCTCAACCTTCAAGGCCAATCAAACTCCGCAGACCCTCAGAGAACTATCCTAGTCTGAACCCTAAAACCAATCCAACATCCAGCCAGACTAGGTGTAGAGCGATGGTCGTTGTGATCCGTCGAGGGCATTGTGAATCGGGAGGCCTGCAGGTCAAGACGCAGGTAAGTTGGAAGTGTGGTTTCCGGGTCTAGAAAACTGTTACGGTTTGAGGCCGAAGTGAATATATACACAAATATATATATATATATAAAGACATGTATATATGTGTATGTAAGTGTATATATACATACATATATATATATATAGGAAAACTATATATACATATATATATATATAAGAGAGAGAGAGAGAGAGAGAGAGAGAGAGAGAGAGAGAGAGAGAGAGAGAGAGAGGGAGAGATCCGCCCGTGTAGCCATGAATCTTCATACCAACAAAGCCTAGCCTAAAACTCCTGACAGCCCGGCATGTTCTCCATCAGGCCTAGAACATCCGATCATCCCCTAACTCTCTAGGCCCATAAGCCTAGAAAGAACAACCAAGCCATGAACATCAACCCCAGCCCCAGATGAACAATCATAGGGACCCTTAGGGGGGGGGGGGCCTGAATGCCCATCGTAAGGACCTATTTAAGGAAGTATAGTTCCTTGCCCCTAAAGCTCCCTTTGAAACAAGAGCTGCTGATACCCTGGTGTGCTGGCCTCTCCCTGCCAACCTTGCTTCAGAATCTCCGAGTGATGAGGCTGCACAAAGCCATCCTGGATCCGGGCTTGATGCTCGCAACTTTAGCTTTTCGATGCTTTTCGGATGTGGGTTCAAGGATATAGGTTTTGGGCCTATAAGCTTGCGAGCCGGAAGTTTAACTTTAAGGCAGGGATTGGAGCTGCGAGCATTCCCTGGCGCAAACCTTTAACGACCCAAACGCATGAACTCATGAAGTCCAGTACGAAATTCAGTATCCTCTCCCAACAAAGCGCTCGTCAGGAGCTGACCTGCCGAACACTACCGGGCTCCTGCGTTATGGATGATATATAAATATAAATAAATAAATAAATATAAATATAAATATATATATATATATATATATATGGTAACCCCCCCCCCAGGACCAACCTCGGCCATTGTCCTGCTCATTACTGTCTTCACAGCGTCATGAATAAGAGCCGAAACCACTGTAAATACCGATGGTGTTTGTGTTCCCGTACAAAGTTTGCACTCTCGACGCCTCTTGACAGACTGGTAAAAAACAGGGTCCAGTTTTATGGACACCATTTACACTCTCGGAGCGTCTTGTCGGAGTGGTAAAAGACAGAGTCCAGTTTGTGTGCCTCATCCTTTATTAATTAATGTCATCTTGTCAAAGTCTTATTATTAGTTTCAGTCTTAAAAAACAGTGTTAACATTGGTCTTGACTTAATTTTGTTCTAAGTTTGCTAGCGTTAGCATTATTATTAGTTTTGTGTCATTACTAATTTTAGAAGTTCTAACAATGCTGCTGGTATCTGTCCAATATTACTGTTCGTTTGATTAGTGTTCCTGTTAGTGCTGATGCTGGTGTCAGTGTCAACGTCAGTGTTAGTCTTAATATTAATATGAGTATTAGTGCTCCAGTTTAATTTAATATATGTCTATAGCAGTGTTAGTGTTAGTTAGTATTCGTATTAATATTAGACGTGGGCTGGGCTTTAAAAACTTAGTCTTAGTACATTATGTGTATAAGTATTCATATGTGTATATTCAGTTAATTGGTATATAAACAAAACATATATATTAATAAAAAAACTTTTGGGTATACTCGTATATTGGTATATTAGTAACAATGGTCTATTGGTATATCAGTTTCTCAGTATATTAGTTAGTATATTAGTATAATACTATGACCATACATATTGGTAAATGAAAACATTGAGTTTTTAACAATCTGATGCATTCATTTCCTTGTGCCTTATTCTGATGTATTCTTTAGTATACATTACAAAAACGATATTGACATTAATATGATATTTGTAAATTCATATTGGTATTGATATTAACATGAGTTGTCATCTTGTCAAAGTCTTATTATTAGTTTCAGTCTTAAAAAACAGTGTTAACATTGGTCTTGACTTAATTTTGTTCTAAGTTTGAACCTCAATTATTGTGAGCAGTAACCTTAATATTTTTGCTAGCGTTAGCATTATTATTAGTTTTGTGTCATTACTAATTTTAGAAGTTCTAACAATGCTGCTGGTATCTGTCCAATATTACTGTTCGTTTGATTAGTGTTCCTGTTAGTGCTGATGCTGGTGTCAGTGTCAACGTCAGTGTTAGTCTTAATATTAATATGAGTATTAGTGCTCCAGTTTTAATTTAATATATGTCTATAGCAGTGTTAGTGTTAGTGTTCGTGTTAGTATTCGTATTAATATTAGACGTGGGCTGGGCTTTAAAAACTTAGTCTTAGTACATTATGTGTATAAGTATTCATATGTGTATATTCAGTATATTGGTATATAAACAAAACATATATATTAACAAAAACAGTTTTCAGGTATACTCGTATATTGGTATATTAGTAACAATGGTCTATTGGTATATCAGTTTCTCAGTATATTAGTATATTATTTATTAGTATATTAGTATAATACTATAACCATACATATTGGTAAATGAAAACATTGAGTTTTTAACAATCTGATGCATTCATTTTCTTGTGCCTTATTCTGATGTATTCTTTAGTATACATTACAAAAACGATATTGACATTAATATGATGTTTGTAAATTCATATTGGTATTGATATTAATATGAGTATGTAATAATCTTTCTATATTTGTATGAGCACAAATAATTTTACTAGTATTATGCATGTTCGTACTAGCCGAAGTATTAGTGCTCATATTAATATCAATATGGTTCTAAAGAGACTATTAATGTCGGTATTCGTACTGAGAATATTAGTATATTAGTATAATACTATGACCGTACATATTGGTAAATGAAAACATTGAGTTTTTAACAATCTGATGCATTCATTTCCTTGTGCCTTATTCTGATGTATTCTTTAGTATACATTACAAAAGCGATATTGACATTAATATGATGTTTGTAAATCCATATTGGTATTGATATTAACATGAGTTGTCATCTTGTCAAAGTCTTATTATTAGTTTCAGTCTTAAAAAACAGTGTTAACATTGGTCTTGACTTAATTTTGTTCTAAGTTTTAACCTCAATTATTGTGAGCAGTAACCTTAATATTTTTGCTAGCGTTAGCATTATTATTAGTTTTGTGTCATTACTAATTTTAGTTCTAAAAATGCTGCTGGTATCTGTCCAATATTACTGTTCGTTTGATTAGTGTTCCTGTTAGTGCTGATGCTGGTGTCAGTGTCAACGTCAGTGTTAGTCTTAATATTAATATGAGTATTAGTGCTCCAGTTTAATTTAATATATGTCTATAGCAGTGTTAGTGTTAGTGTTCGTGTTAGTATTCGTATTAATATTAGACGTGGGCTGGGCTTTAAAAACTTAGTCTTAGTACATTATGTGTATAAGTATTCATATGTGTATATTCAGTATATTGGTATATAAACAAAACATATATATTCATTAAAAGAATTTTGGGTATACTCGTATATTGGTATATTAGTAACAATGGTCTATTGGTATATCAGTTTCTCAGTATATTAGTATATTAATTTATTAGTATATTAGTATAATACTATAACCATACATATTGGTAAATGAAAACATTGAGTTTTTAACAATCTGATGCATTCATTTCCTTGTGCCTTATTCTGATGTATTCTTTAGTATACATTACAAAAACGATATTGACATTAATATGATGTTTGTAAATTCATATTGGTATTGATATTAATATGAGTATGTAATAATCTTTCTATATTTGTATGAGCACAAATAATTTTACTAGTATTATGCATGTTCGTACTAGCCGAAGTATTAGTGCTCATATTAATATCAATATGGTTCTAAAGAGACTATTAATGTCGGTATTCATACTGAGAATAATTTTGTTAAGAACATGAGCATAAATACCCGTAGGAATATTCATACCTATGCTTGTATTGGTATTAATACTCGTATTAGCATGAGTACTAGCATTAGTACGTATCTAGGCATGACGATTCTTATATGAATATAAAAGGGGAACATGATTATTAGTATTCGTAAGAACATTAGTTTTCCTATACATTAATGCTAACTAATATTACTATGCATATTAGTATTGGCAAGAACATTAAAGTTCGTGTTCACATCAATTCTAAAATTGGTATTAGTACAGTTTTTTCAATATTAGGAGTAGATACTAGTAGTAGAATTCAAATTAGTATGAACAAAACATGCGTTGGTATTCGTCGGAATATGAAACTTGAGGTTACTCTTCGTATGAGTTACTAGTACTACTGAAAAACATACCAATGCTGATATTAATACGAATGCTAACATTCATGTATGAGCATGTTATTATGCACGTTCGCGCTAGCCTTAGTGCTAATATTAGCATGAATATGAGTACTCCAAAAATGAGTAATTTCACGAATATGCATAGCCAATATTCATACTAGCGATAATACTAGCTATAGTATGTATATTAGTATTCGCATCAAGACTATTCATACAATGTACATGATTTCAAGTATTCTTGGGAACATCAGTATTCATACTAGCATACTATCAGTTTCACCAGTAGTATTACTATAAGTATTAGTACTCGTATGAGTATTATAGTTTTCAAAGTTTTCAAAATAATATCAATATTACTACAAGTATCAGTTGCACAGACACGTCAACCGGCGACGTCGCGAGGTCGAGTTCCCTAAATTCTCTAATCACTGCTTCCATGCCTCGAATTTACAGAATGCGTGAGTTCCTGCAGACTCCCTAAATCCCTAAAGTCTTTACATACCCTAATTTCCAGCCCCATGTGTTGGTTTTAGCGCATTCCCTAACATTCCTGACTCCCAGCCCGGACCATGTGTTGGATTTAGGGAATTCCCTAAATTCCCTAAATTCCCTAATTTCCCTAAATTCCCTAATTCCCTACCCCATGTGTTGGATTTGGGGAATTCCCTAAATTCCCTAAATTCCCTAAATTCCTTAAATTCCCTAAATCCTAAATTCCTTAAATTCCCTAAATTCCCTAAATTCCCTAAATTCCCTAAATTCCCTAAATTCCCTAAATTCCCTAAATTCCCTACCCATGAACGGAAACCATTGAATCTTCTCCATGGGGGTCAGACTTAGGGAATTTAGGGAATTTAGGGAATTTAGGGAATTTAGGGAATTTAGGGAATTTAAGGAATTTAGGGAATTTAAGGAATTTAGGGAATTTAGGGAATTTAGGGAAATAGGGAATTCCCCAAATCCAACACATGGGGTAGGGAATTAGGGAATTTAGGGAATTTAGGGAAATACCTAAATCCAATGGGTAGGGAATTAGGGAATTTAGGGAATTCAGGGTTGGTCTTGGGGGGGGGGGGGGCTAGCATATATATGTATATATATTATATATATATATATATATCATATCAAATCAAATCAAATCAAATCAAATCATATCATATCATATCATATATATATATATATATATATATATACATCCCCTACAAGTAGACCGCGCCTGAGTGTGCGGAGCTTCGATCACAAGACCGGATATTCTTCTGTCTTCCAGCCCTCCATACTATAAGTTTACATAGCTAGCAGAAGCGTTGCTCATATGTTGGTGGACGGTGATTAACAGCGGCATTAGGCCCCATTAAAAGTACATATTACGACATACTACGACCAAACACGTAACAACTCGTTCAGGCTGTGCCCCTACATGAGCTGTCATCCGAATAACTACGACAGTCTACATGGCTTGCTAATGCGCAAAGAGGTCACGGTTTTGGCCAATGGAATGAAAGGCCAAATTTGCGAGGTTTGGCAAGATGTCTTTCACATCTTGCCAAGCTCTGTGGCCAACTTTGACCAATGCGATCTTGTCAAGACCGCATGTTCCTACATGAGCTGGCTCAGCGCATATGACTTGGAACAGAGGCGGTTGTGTTGACGGAAAGCAGAAAAAAAGCATGTTGAAAAAGGCTATCGTCGGCTTGTCAGTTTCCCTGTAATGCCGCTGTGTTACTGTGATGCTGCCTCTCCGGCAGCTACACTGGGTCCACTTGGGTACACCAGAGCACAGCTCGGTGCGAACAATCACATTATGACGACTTTCTAGTTTGTGCTCTATGAAATAATGTCCAGACTCAGCCACGCAATACATTGAGCTCATCACAACATGATAACGGTCATACCAGTCCGATCTCTGCCGCTGGAAGAGCGTTCGGCCAGCGTCTAGCTGACTCTGGGCATGTTTTTGGCAGTTGTCGCGAATCACGTTGTAGGAGCCTCCGTACGCCCGGCTGGTGGAAACCAACTGTCCGAGGTGTGGTCCCGAAGAACGACCATACTGTTTCGTCCTGAGCAGTGTGGAATTGGCTTCCCTAAGGCCATCAGGGTTCAATTTCCACAACACACTACCAGATCCGTCTTTTTCAGTGCGGGCCACCTGACCATCCTGCAGAACGTGATCAACAAAATCGTGGCATCCCTGCCGCCAGACTCGAGTCTCCACAGCACGCAGGTTCCATGGAAGCCGAGGGTTACCATCGTTACGGTATTGCTCTTCATCCTTGCACGCGGAGCTTCCCATGGCTTCTGGGTGTACTGTGCAGCACACTGCCCACTTAGCTCCACTTTGCACTGGATGCGTTGGACGTTAGGTCGCAACCCTGCCACCCACATGACAAGACGTGAGTTTGCTGCAGGCTTTAAGTCTAGATCTTGCTTGATGCCCAAGGCGGCAAAGGCACTGGAACAGAGCTTATGCATACCACCTCTCCCTGCACCCACAAGTTAACTGCGAGTCCTGTCAGTTCACTTGGCAGAGCAATTCTGATGCGTAGTCAACAACTCAGCAGTAAAGACAGACTTGTACCTTAAACCGCTACTGTATATGAAATGTCATCGAACAACAGGAACCCAGCCGGACGGATTATGCATCATGTGCTATATGCGGTTCGATACATCAGCACTGGCATTGGACTCGAGGTGTCGAGAACTTATGAGCTTTTTCGACAACCAATCAGGGTCTTGAAAAGTCCCGTGCGCAGGCCCGACGTGGGAACATCTCTCTTCGTGAAGTAACCCCGACGGAAGCCAGCCCGAATTTAACCCTAAACTCCTGAACCCCTCAACCCCTAATTCCCTAAATCCCTGAACCCAAAACCCTTAAACATACAACCAATATCACATCTTGAGATATTTGGAAGAAGCATGGAAAGGTCCTCATCTCCATGTAGGAAGAGGATCGGTACCTTGAATGTAACAGGTCTATATGCAGGCTTTGGGGTTTACGGTATACAGTGTCGGCTTAGGGTTCGGGGGGTCTTGGGCCTGGTGCAAGTGTTGGCTTTGAAACTGTTCGGTAATACAGGGGCTTGAATAGTTCATTACCTACACCGTTTTGGAGGTTCCTTATTATCATTATTACAATATAATGCCCCCCCAACACTATTCTCACTATTAAGGCCTCTATATTATGGTATCTTTGGCCTCGGTTCAGCGCGACGCAGCGCAGTATGAGCATAGAACGTTAGCTATACGTTCCCAGGAATATTTGGAAGATTGGTGAGCTTAGATATATATCTTGTCTATACATATACACACAAACAGGCATGGCATGACAGAAAGCACATAATTCAAATATGTGCAGCTGGAACTGTGGTTCCAGCGGGCTCTTCATGTACAGATGCATTGACTGGACTGTCTCATCACCTGCAACTAACGCTTTACTTGTTTTTGGTTCTCTCTCTCTCTCTCTCTCTCCCTCTCTCTCTCCTGCAAGTCATCGTGCTCCGTCATCCTCATCCTGCCCTAGAATCCGCTAAGACCTCTTTTTCAACTATGAATGAAACCCCAAAACTCTAAGACAAGACCCCAAGCCCACACTCTAACTCATCTTGGATCCTGTACCTCAGCAGCCCGAAGCCCTAACCCCCCAAAACCCCTGAAACCTGCCTACTATTGGCTTAAGAACCCCCAAAAAAGAAAAAACATATTCCTTATGGTGGTAATATAGGGATTATTATTTTATTTTTTGGGGGTTTCTTAAGCAAATGGTAGTGAACGCAGAAGGGCACAAAGCAGCTCTCGAGATGTTTCTTGGGTGACACCTGGCGTCGGCACTCCAAGGGGCAGTTTACGGCGGTTTCGCGGTTTAGGTGTTGGGCATGTATGGGGTTGTGTGGCTCCCTCTGGTGGTTTGCTTTGCCGGGCTTATGCAGATGTTTAGGAAGTTGTGCAAAATGTGTATCAGGATTTGGGCGCAGCAAATCTACCTGGGCCCGTTTCTTCGTTTTGGCTTAAGCTTCGCGTGCAAAGCAGTAGCTAAACCTAGCTCGAATGCCCAACCCCGCGATCTGTAAACCCTGACGACTCAATCAACAAGCCTGAGCAGGATCTTAAACAGACAAGCCACCAGGACCAAAATCGAAAACCTTCATAAAACTATGGACACCCTGAACCCGTGGATCTACAAAGCTCGTGTGCAGAGGAGGGGATGTCTTGCAGGAAATGAATCCCCTTGCCTCGTCAGCACTGCGTAAGAAAACTTCGAATCAGTAAACCGGCCCCTGAATTTGGGCAAACCTGGAAGCTGCTAGACCCCCTCACAGATGCTGGTCGTTGCCTCGCAAATGTCGAAGTTGGCCTTGTCAGAGGGGCAGAAGGCCTGAACCTAGCTGGCCTTAAGAGTCACATTGACCTGCTCCCCTAAACCCTACAACCCTGATCCCCTAATCCCTAAACCCTAAGAACCTAGACCCCCAATCCCTAAACCCTAATCCCTAAACCCGAAACCCAGACAACACCCAACAAGATTCGAAGCTCAAGCTTCAGAACCAATACCCGGGGCTTCTGGAAGCCTCGGGGTCATGGGACCTTGGGCTGTCGACTGCAGAGTTCTAAGGTTTGAGGGGAGGGAGTATGTACTTGAAGGATGAGAGAACGTGGTAAGGAGTAAGTAGTAGGTGTGAGGTTTGCAAATTTTTTAAACAGGTAACAGAACCCAATCGATAGAGAAGTATTCTTGGACCCCTAGCAAAGCCCCACCTAGACACGCTTAAAATCCCAAAGCCCTCAGCCCCGACCCTCACATTGGGAGACCGTCACGAAGCGACCTGGGGAGATGCCCGGAAGCATCCTCTCGCAGCTACCGCATGTTTAGAAGGCCTTCTAGTGGTTCAAGCCCATTTAGGGTTTCAAGTTCTCTTTAGAGCTTGATTTCGCATTTAGAGCTTTGGGGCTTGAGGACTTCAGAACTGCAGGCTTGTGTTCTCGTTTCTGTGCCCCTCTTCGAACCATACAGGGTCTACAGGTATGGTCACGTAGCGAGTGTCAACACCAAGCGTTCTGTTTTCTCGCTGGCATGAATGCCTCGGAGGAGCAGCCTAGGCAGGCGGGAATGCCATCATTTGGCAGCCACGTGCCTGACGTGTACTGGCTGAGCCGGGGTAAACTTTCCGTAAAAAATCGAGGTTCTAGGGCCTGTAAGGCTCCAGAATGTAGGGCCTGTAGAGCTTGGGGGTTTGAGGAGCATGGGTCCGTCATCGCAGCACTCAGGCACTGTCGCCGATGAGGTCATTCCAAGAAAAAGGCGAGAGACGCGATCAAACCCAAAAGGCCCAGTTGACTGAAAACATTGGCCTCTAATATCTCTGGGCACCACACGTGGGCCGCTACAGAACTAGAGAAGTTCGACACCAACTGGGCTTTTAGGGCGCCTGAAAGCTACTCTACATTAGGGTCCCTGTTCTGCGTTCTGCGTTTACCGTACAAAGATGAATCTTATGTCGCAAAGGGACCCCAAACACACAAAGAGCCAGAACGGCCCATGGGCAATCATGAGATGAAGGATGTGCAATCCTCACTCCCTTTCAAGGGACACATCCCGGTCAAGGGTTTGTCGAGACTTCACAAGTGTGAAGGAATGGAAAATCCTGCACGGTGCTGTTTGGAATGGGCCAAGCAACCACACACCACGTGACAGTAATCAAAATACAGAACCGTGAATCACCGAGCAGCAATGCCGCACATCATGTTGCAAAAAATACAATAATGTAGGAACCTGATTAAGAAACCCTGGGCCTATAACCCTACAGAAGTAGGATTCATACAAGGAGCCCTAATAAAGACCCAAGGTTTCTTAATCAGGTTCTCACATTATGCGGCTCTGCACACACGCTCAGTTTACCGCTCCGAAGCGAGAACATGCCAGCAACTATACTTGCTGGAGCCATGGCTAAACGGCTCACCTTTTTGGCCGCTGGTGCTGACCGTGCCAGACCCGGTCGGATCTGGACACTGTGCCAACATCACTTCGAAACAGTGGACACACTTAGAGCTCGAAGTAGAGCGGCTCTTGGATAGTGAAATCTTTCATGGGTTCGGCTGGGTGGATTTTGAGGGCACGTGTGCTCTGCCTCGTGGGAATACACTTTTGCCACAAAGATGCAGCCAAAGCACTGAGGGCGACGGGATGGCGCATCTCCACGAACGCGTACCCCTTGCTCTTCGACTGGGTCTTTGGCATCTGAAGAGAATAGCGGTCCGACGTAAGGCTGTCGAGATAATCTCGCAATTCCTGCTCTGTGCATCTTGCGGGGACGTTGCGGATCATCATCTTGCAGGTAGCAAGCCACTGCAAGCTGCTCGGGTGCAAGCCGTATGCCTCCGTCCCTCAGCACATGATCTAATGCAAGGCTACAACTGGCTTCACCTAGACATCTCTGTGGCCAGCACCCCACACTGTTAGTCATGGCAAGGAAAACAAAAAAAGACCTCATTACACTCATTAGATGAATCAAGAACAACGCGAAATAACTGCAGTCAAAAGTAGGGGTGCAGCGTCCTTGCAGCTAAGTTGCACAAGCTGGACGGTGGTGACATCGAGCCAGGCACCTTCCAAGGAACGTCTTGCTTTCGGGCTTCTGCCCTCTGTAAACCTTTGTGGTGCTACTTCGATGAGAGGAGGGGGTCCCGTTGGGGGGAATTTAGGGCTGACAAGTCCCGCGTTTTGTGGAGGTTTAGGGTTCAAGGTCTAAGGATTCACAGATCCTGCGAAACCGACACTTGGTGCGACATGGGTGTGCAGGAGGTGGACACTCCGACAGCTACGTCTTCGTATTGAATTTGGTAAAGTTGTTGCTGGCGCTGCTGCTGTTGTGAGTATGCCCGCCGCTGCTGCTGCTGCTGCTGCTGCTGCTGCTGCTGCTGCTGCTATTGCTGATGTCGCTGCTGTTGCTGATGCTGCTCTTGTGGGTGGTGCTGGTGTTGCTGGTGCTGGTGGTGGTGGTGGTGGTGGTGGTGGTGGTGGTGGTGGTGGTGGTGGTGGTGGTGGTGGTGGTGGTGGCGGCGGCGGTAGTGGTGTGACTGCTGGTGTTGGTGCGGTGATGTTGTTTAATTGATTTGTTTTGTTTGGTGATGCTGCTGCTGTCGTTGTCGTTGACGTTGACTTTGTCGTGGTTGTTTTTGGTGGTGCCGGTGTTGTTGTTGCTGCTGTCGTCGTCGTTATCGTCGCTGTGGCTGGGGCTGAGGTTTGTTTGTCGTCGTCGTTGTTGCTTGTGTGTTGCAGCAGCTGCTGTTGTCTGCTATTGTCATTATTGTTGCTGCTGTTGCTCTTGTAGTAGCTGCGAACCGTTGCTGTTATCATGCTTAAGGTTTTATGTGGTTGATCTGTGGTTGTTTTTTTTTAGAGGGCTGCAGTTGGGGTAGCATGCCAAGCCGTTCGCCTCAACCCGAGCCTGACGAGAGGCAAGCCACAAAGCTTGTTTGCTCCTGCTGCTGGACAAAACGTGAGAAAAAGGTAGCCTTGCGCAAATCCTTGTAGCAAAAGGAGCAAAGCCAAATGCACACCACCATCCCAAAACCCACCGAAAGAACAGCCTAAATGGATGAAGCGGGTGGCGACAGGGCCTACGGCTTTGGGGGGGTCAGGGCTGCAGGGTTCTAATTCCTGAGCTTTCAGACCTTAAGGTGTGCAGTCTACCAAGGTCGGAACAGCAGATTGTGCTTAGCACATAGGCTATCATAGGCTAGGAGAAGTTCGAGATCCTCAGCACTGCACAACTACTCATAATCTTACGTCTGAGGTTTAGGGGTATAGGGTTCTTTGCAAGTACACATAAAGGTCCAAATACAATTTGACTTGAACACGGCAATAGGATCTGGTCGTAACAGCCTTAAGTGGGGTTTTAGTGATACTCTAGGCAGGCTTGTGCGGGCCTCAACTCCGAAAAACCTTGCGACTCCTCCACACCGCGATCAACCCTTCTGCGACTCCCTTCAACCATGAACCCTAACCCACAGACCCTAAACCCTAAACCCTGGGGCCCTATAGCCCTGCACCCTAACCCCTAGCCCGACACCAACCCTTCTATGAAACCAAGCAGGCCTCCAAAGCATTGATCTCAAACGCCCTCGAAAGCCGGGCATCCTCCAGTCCTGGACAGAAACCCAGAAACCTAAGAGCTTAGCGACTCGCCTAGCCGAAATCCTGAACCAGCTGGGGTTTAGGGTTTAGGGGTTGGCTTAGCGTTGTAGGGTTTAGGGTTACTTAAGCCCCCCTGCAATAAAATGACATCCACGGTAACCGCCTCCCGACAATTACCAACCCCAGACTCCAAGAACGAAATCCTGTGAACAAATCTAAACCATAAAATCCTCTGCAGCAGCCTTCCCTAGCTTTCAGGAATTAGTCCGGGTTAGACAACCCTAAACGCCGTGGAAACCCCAGCCTGTAATCCCTACAGGCCCCATCACGGCCTGACCCCGCTTTTCCTTTCAGGGTTTAGGGCCCTAACCCTAAACCTTTAACCTTAAATCAACACCCAAAATCACGGCTCCTGGAGGAGGCAGGGCTGGAGATCCCGTGAGGTTTATCTCCTCAGATAAGCGCTGGTTTCGGGCTTAGGGTAAGCGCTCGCTGCTGTGTTTTGCTTTTGTTCTTGTGGGCTCCTTGTCTGCTAGACTGAGGTGCCAGTAGGGTTTATGAGGTGTTAGGTTTCGTCTAAGGGGTTTGCAGGCGGCGTTTGCTGATAATTAGGGTTTCAGAAGGGCTTCTTAAAAAGATTAAAGTTTTGGTTAAAGATCCGTCTAGTGAAGATCCTATATGGTTGGCTGACGCCCCTGATTTCTTATTGCCAGGAACTGTCGTCTCTGTTGTAGGTCGCGTTTTTGATTACCTGTTTTTAAATGTTGGAACCTAACAACTGGTCCACACAACAGAAGATCTACAATGGAGACTGTAGGTACTTCTCCTCTTGTTGCAAAGGCTTTGGTTCGGAGCTCATCGAATCTCGTCGAAGAGTAGTAGGCGCTAGGGCTCTTGCAGGGCACTATCAGGATTGTTGTAATGTTTCCATAGGCGTACTATAAAAGTAAGGCACTAGGAAGATCTAGGAAGTGTTTCGGGTTTTGGGCCCTAGATGAAGTTGGGAAGGAGGGGCCCTAGAGGGTGCGGACAAGTTCTTCACACAGGGCCCTACGTAAAGGGTTCCGACAGAGGCCGGCCTGCGACAGCTTACAAAGGCTCTTACGGTCTGCAGATGTTCGAAGGTCCTCGAAGGCCTAAGAATTGCGCTAAACCATAAACCCTCAACTCTAGCCCTAAAGCATGTGGGCAGAGCTCGGACATTGCTCGCGTTCGGGTGG